TAGCTCCTTTCCATTTACTGATAACATTTCATCACAAGGAGGAACCACAGATTGTGAACACGTTCAATTACTGAAGACATCTTGGTGGCTTCCGGGTTGTGGACATTAGGAATAAAGGCATTTCAACTAAAAAGACAGGGTTCCAGGCAAGGAGGGATGCAAGTCAGCCAGACATCATATCTCCTCCGAGGTCATGTGGCACCCGAGGCTAACAGGAAATGAGGCTTGTGGCAGCCTTGCACTGGGGAAAGGATAATGGAGTTTGGGGTTTGCTATGCGGTACATAACTGCATTCTATGACAATGGACCAAAGTCATGGCTCTTCATGCTGGAGGTGCTTACTCAGAGCTCATGGAAATCCTCCCAGCTGCTGCAGAGCGTTCTGTTTACGTGCAAGCTCCAAGCTTGACCTTCATTCTTTATGGTATGGAAAACATATGGACAGCTCTATGGAGCTCATGAAGAACCTGGGAATTTTGTGATGTGTTCCTTCTTTCACCATTGTGCATCCAAGAAATATTCTCTTTGCATGGGAGTAAGCTATGTAACCTGTGAAAGCTTACTTTGAACTCCTACGCATCTCCACCGCACAAAACATTGCTACCAGAAAAATAAAAAGAGACAGAGGTAAATAAACAGCTGAACATGGTCCAAAATCAGAAAGCAGATTTGAAGCCAGTAGTGGGATAGAAAATTTAAACACTAATTGATGAATTGCTAGAGACCCCGTGTGGCCAGCTTGGAGAGTCCAAAAATTACCTTTACCTGCATGTGCTCCTTCGTCTATTTTAGCTGTGGTTATTGCTGTTTTGAGGTCTTGTCCAAGGAAACCTTTGCCAATTTCAAGGCCCTGAAGCACTTCCCCTCTGTTTTCTTGCCCTGGTTCCATAATTTCTGGTATAACTACAGTTTCATGTATTTTGATTTATGTGGTTGAATCTATCAAGTTGGAGTCTAGGTTCATTCATCTGCCTGTGGATATGCAATCTCCCCAGCACCATATTTTAAAAATCCTGGTTTACTGTTACTATAAGAAAATGATCTTCCCAGAGGATGAACATATTTATAAAAGGGTTGAGACTGGTTCAGAGTCCAAGGTTTCAGTGCACAGTTGTTAGCCAAAGCTTTGGTGCCTGTGCTGAGGCAGTAAATTAGGGCGGGGCACATTCTGGCTGGTGTCTTTCGCTTCCCTGCAACTGGGAAGCAAGGAGAAGAAGGAAGGGACCAGCATCCTACAGTCCCCTTCAAGGGTGCTCCTCCAATGACCAAGACGTCCTGGTAGCTCCCATTTCTGAAGTTTCCACACGTCTCAATGTCCCCACAGCTTGTGCACCAAGAGTTTAACCCTTGAGCCTTGGAAGCCACTCATGCAAACCATAGCAGATGCAATGGCTGTAAGTACAGCTCACTCAAAATCGATGCTTGTTATGATCTCTCCTCAGTTAATTTTGGAGAGGACAGACTTTGGTGGCCAGAAATTCTCACAGGAAGAATAGGTGGGCACAGTGCAGATGTGATGTCTTTTATGTTTAAGAAGATATATGCATGAGGTCATAATGCTTATGAAATTATGGACAGTGGAAATGCACTAGAGAGCTGTTAAGAGATTCAGAATGAACAATATTGGAATATACAGACAAGCAGAATTGAAGGAAAGGGGTACTGATGAACTCATGGAAAAAGGCACAGAATGTGAAGAAATTTGCGATGTGTTTTAATGTTCACAAGAATAACCATGACCAAGAGGCACTGAACAGTCAAGACAGAATGGACACATCAGTTGATATCTGCTGGCCTCTGTCCCTGACAGCAGCAGTGCTACACAGTGGCCGGATGTGTGGAGTAGCCATGGTGGAAGGAATGTGTGCTCTGTATGAGGTCAGTAACATGGGATCCCAGCATCAAGGCTTATCCAGCTACTGCTGATGTTACAGTTTAACCCGCCAGGGACAAGGACCAGTGCTGAATCCATTAGGATACCAGTGCTCATGGAGACCACCCAGCCCTGTGTGGATGATCACATCACAGACGGAGCAGAGGTTCTTCTTTAAAAGAAATTTTATATGTGTCAGTATGGGTTTCACTACCTTCTTTGTATTCTTCCTCTAACAACACTAACAGATTCTTCACACTGCAAACCAGGACTTCCCTGGGAGAAGTGACACAGACCAGAAAGGCATGTGAAGAGCGTTTTTTATGCTTATTTTGAGAACAACAAAGAAGCACTTACTACCAACTCAGAGGACTTCAGGGTTGGGAGGAATCAGCCCCAGCAGATGTTTTTCTTTCCTCTTCTGTGAAGAGCATGGTCCTGCCTCACTTACAGCTCCTGAGGGAGCTGCGGCTCTGACCACCTACCAAAGCTCCTGCACCTGCCCGTGTGCTATGTGGACCTTTTCTAGTGACTCATTCTCTTAAAATCCTGCAAAACTATGAAGATAATCTCAGCATGCCTCCTAATTTACCTGGTAAGAGAAGGAAATTCTACTGCATGTCAAATTATTTATCACCCATTGAGTAAACTGTGACAGTGTGGTGTTCTGTGCTTTAGGGATAAACCCCTGTGTCTAAACATCATAGTCAAAGTTAACTTTTATGTCAAAAAGCCTGTTGCTACTGGAGGCTTTCTAGGGTGAGTAACGGGACAGGAAGGCACTTCTGCATGACATGGTCCAGGGCAGGTGAGTGGGCTGTTCCCGTGGGAGCAGGGTGCACCCATCGCCTGCTCAGTTTTACATTCTGAATTCAGGCCAGGTTTCAGTGGCTTGCACACAGGGTCTTCCTACACCCTGCGAGGTGTTTTTCAATTTTCTATAAGTATGGAAATCAGAATCAGAGCTGGGTTCAGGTTGGGAGGAGTGGGAACAGGGTGGCCTATAGATGACCTCACAGTAAGAGTCTGCTCCTGGCCTTGTCATTTACCACATAGGGATCCTGGGAGTTCCTGAGCCCAGTAGGCCTCAGGATCTTCCTCTATAAAATGGGTCTGGCACACCTTGCTGGTTATAGGCCTGGCGAAATGTAATAAAACACTTAGCAGAATACCTAAAAGAAATTAAATATTTGCTAATAAAAGCCTTTTTCTTCTCTTAACTGAAGCCTGGATGCTACTGTACATTTCTTGTAAATTTTTTGTTTGTGTTTCTGAGGGAATCTTCAGGTTACCAGGAAACTGAAAAGAAAATCAAGGAAAAGGGCTACTCAGCAAAGGTTCCTCTGACATGTTCTCTCCACTAGGAGGTATTACTCGATTAGATGTTGGGGAGAATTTCTTTGCTGGGACTAAGTGAAAGCTGCCGGAGTCTGGGTGAATAACCATATCCGCTGCTTGCCAGCTTTTCTTCACTGGAACAACTATTTTCAGTCATATCACATTCACCAAAAGTCTAGCCTTGGGGCTTTCGAGGCCTGTGTGACAATCGGGCCTAAAACCCTGGTCGTTCTAGTGACAAGGCCATCTCAACAGACAGTTTGATGAAGCATCAAGCAAAATTCCACACCCTGGCAACCCTAGCATAAACTTTCTTTGCAAAGAAAATAACTGAAAACTGACCCTATGGAAGTCCAATTATAAGAGAGGAGAGGACTCTTGCAAGCTCTGAGGAGATTCTCTGGAGGAGAATATCTTGGTCAGGCAGACATCTGACCACTTGCGCAAGTTGCCAACGCCACTGGCCAGGATCTGATGTCTGTGTTGGAAGAGTGTTTAGGAAACGGGGCTCATGAGCAGAGGTTAGCCCAAGGGAAGCTAGTCAACTGGGCACTGCAAGACCCTTGAAGCTGGACACTAGCAGCTGACTGGAGAGCACCTGGCCAGGGACTTTAGAGCCTCACTTCATCTGAATCATCCTTGTCTCTCAGGAAAGCCTTGTGGAGGCTCGGTGTAAGTCCCCTGGTTGGCGCCCTGCAAGGAATCACTCTTCCAACAGCTGTGCCAGGGGAGGATTCCACTCAGCCTCACCCACCATCTAAAAGTGCTGCTCAGAGCAGTCTTCCATCTTCTCAGGCTGTCACGTCAGGCCCAAGACTCCTCATCTGAGAGTTTGGCTGGGCCACCTCGCAGCTGCATTAAACCAACTCCTGCAGAAGGAACTGCTCTTACCCCAACCCTCAAACTGCTGTGACTCAGCACTCACCCAGGGCTGCTCCCTGCTAGCCTCACCCCCTCAGTGCCCTGTCACCTGTGCTTCAGATCCTGCAGGACATCTCCGTATTTCCCGACAGTGGTGGTTCTCCTGGACTCTGCCATGCTTTGGGCAGGTTTGATCCTGCTCAGTCTAGTGTACTTGTATCTCCACCGCAGACACATTGCCTTACAAAGAGCACATGTGCAATGAATTCTGGGGACTGAAGTGTCCATGAAGATAGGATTGTTTATTTTCAGTAAATTGCTCAAATATAATTGAGGAAATCAAGTGAATTCAAGTATCTGTATATTTTTAAATTGTATACACTAAAAGAAGAATGGATAAGAAGTCTAGAACAGAACTTTATTTTTATGTCTTTATTTCTTCACAACATTTATCTTAAAGTTCTTACACATTCATAGGGAAATTCCTACTCCAGTGCTATGGAAACCTGTTTCCCATCACAAAAGAGTGGAAGGATTCCCAGGTGGTTGTACAAAACAGCAAAGACTCTTACTCTAGGAAAGGAAAATCTACCACAGGAAATCACAATTTCATTGAAAATCGCAGTCAATAAACAATGTAACAATAACAAAAACAGATGTGAGATCAATATCATTCTTCAAATAAGATGCAAACCTCTTCTATTTTCATGAAGAAAACAAATCTCAATTTCCAAGGAACCCAAATAGAATGAACATCAAGAAGGCACACCCCTGACTTCCCCCTACTCTGGCCCTTCACTACTGAGCAGGCCTGCTGCTCTCCTCAAACACACACTGAAGAATGGGCATCTTTGAACATGGCTCCTTCAGTAGCACTGACTGCATGTTGTGCACGGGCAGCCTCTAGCTCCTCGCTCAAAGTCTTTTCCTAGAGAAATGGGTAGGACCAGGGATCTCTGCTATTAATCTTCACCAAATGGTCCAGCACCTTCATCTTGCTGGTTTCAGCACGGGTCCTTGGACCCCGCAGGAACTCATAGAGAGCAGGATCGCTATTGGGCACCTGCCGGTACTCTAGATACCCTTCCTGCACCAAATCTTCAGTGATGAATTTCCTCAGATCCACATAGATGAAATGTTCACTCCCATCAAACACCTGCATCCTGTTAAGGGCAAGCCAGATAACGTTCTCACTGGCGTGGTTGCCCTTTCTGAAGATGGCAGTGATAATCATTATCAAGAGGCCGGTTTTGGCAAGGCTGCAGTCATCACCCTCTCTCATTATAGGTGAGACCCAGGACAGGAACGAGGACATATATCTGCCCAGGGGGATCCACTTCCTTCACATCAATGCCAAAGACCATGTACAGACACTCTGAGACTTTATTGAAGATCGGAGGGAAGTGCTCCGGGTAATCTTTCATGAAAGTGTGCAGCATTTCTGCCTTGGAAGTCAGCTCCTTTCTCCTATACTTGTGGAGCAGGAAATCCACCAATGCATCTATCCTGTCATACAGGACCACATGGGGCAAGGACTCAGAACCTTCCTGGTCCTGTGACGTGAGTGAAAGCTCATCTTCCCTGCTGGAGCCCTCACTGGATTGGCCTGTTTGACTGGAGGCCATGGCAGTAGAGGGAAAGAAGACCAGCTGAGAAATCTGAGGACTTGGTGTCCTGGTCCCAGGTCCTTCTGCTGGTGTGCCTGGGATTCGGTACAGCAGGAAGAGGATGCAGAGGAAGCAGTGGCAGATACTTGCTCTCTCTCAGACTAGAGCACCTGCACACCCGCTAGTCTTTATGTCCCTCTTTGGCCTGGAAGGCTTCTTTAGCTTGATGCGTGGCTCTTCTTATGATGAAGGTGTTCTCTCGTTCCTTGGGGACAGCAAGAGCTTCAAGATGAGGACTCAGACGCCTGGGGAGAGAGGGAGACTGAGTATTCTCAGCCAACACTAACACTCTTGCTGGCTTCCACAAAGCCCGATGTTTTGCTTTGAGTGCTGCTCTAGGACCTCACAGGCTCCCATCCTCCCAGAGGGTCTGTTCCGGAGAACCTGGGACAGGAAGTGAGGCTGCAGCTGAACCGCAGAGGACAGGCTCTGGAGCAGACAGCACAGCATATGGAGCCCAGGTGCCATGAGCAGACCCTGGTCTGGGACACTGGCCCCTTGGAACACATCAGAGCAGTCCCTCACCTTGACTCCTGGCACTGCCAGGCCTCCTCTGCTGCTGTGAGCTGTGGACACTGCTTCACACCAAGACCTCCATCCTTGCTTCCTGGAGCTCTTGTAGGAGACATGGAGGCTCTCAGGTGGCAGACCTCAAGCACAGGCCTGCTGCCTTGACAGGAGGGGTGAGTTGGACTTGAGGTCCCCAGTGATGGTGTTTTCTCTGCTCCAAGCTCTGACCTCATCCCTCTGCTGACCTGAGGTAAACTCTTAGAAAGAAAATGTCTCCTTTCTTGATAGGAAACAAAAGGCAGTGAGGGTCTCACAGGACTGCTGAGTCCACAGGTGGAGATGGAGAAATTCATGTGCTCTAGGAAATGGAACCTGCTTCTTCCTTATCTCCATAAATGGTTACGTCTGGGACTCTCCCTGGGATGAGCCAGGCCCACCTTCTTTAAACCACAGCCCTCTCACTAAGCTTTCCAAAGAAGACGTGGAGAAAAGGCAGGCCACCTGTGTTCCCTGGGTCTGACAACAGGTAACAAAGGGACAGGTCGAAGCTAGGGTGCTTTGTCATCAGGTGAGTGTGTCCTCTCTGCCTCACTGGAGCCTAGGTAGACTCTGCGATCCTACTTGTGCTGTCCCCATTGCAGCTCTGTTGAACAAAAGCCTTCATCTCACTGAGAACAATGAGCCAGAACTAAGGGTGCAGCCTCAGGCTGAAAGCTATGGTCAGGATGCCTGGGATGACCGCAGCTCAGGGGAGGTGTGCTCTGAGCACCCACCTTCTGTGTTTTGGGGCAGATACCCTGTCTTCCCCTAGTGTCCTCAGCTTTACCATGGCAGATCCTGTGTACCCTGGGCAGGTGGATTCACTGTGCCAACCTGCAGACACCCTCTCAGATCAAGTCCCTCAACTCTCTGAGACACCCAGGATTCTCTAAAGCAGTGAGCAGGTGCCCATCCATCACGTGCATGTGGCACATCAGCGCTTACAGCAAGACTTGTGCCCATCTCTCCTGTGGCTCAGGACACCTGTTATGGGTTTAGTCTAAATTTCACCCCAAAGTTCCATAGGGTCAAAGCCAGGATCTTTGGAACATGCCTGGATTATGAGGGCTTAGAGCTGACTTATCCTTAGGAGCTGAGGCCTAGTAGAAAGAAAAGGGTCACTTTGGGTGTGACAGGGAACGTTATGTCTCCATTCTTGACCTCTCCCCTCCTGGAAGACTTGTGGTGAGCAGGTTTTCACCCAACAGGCCCACACACCATGCCGTTATGCTTTGGTGCTGGCCCACTGTGACCGAAACCTCTCAAACCTGGAAGCCCAAATCAGCATTTCCCTCTTGAAACTGCAGGTGTCAGGTACTCAGTGCTGAGACCTTAAAAACACTCCTATGTGGTTCAATAGTTTCTCCATCTTCCTCCTGCTGGGGCCTACACTCCCCGATCCTCATCCCTAGCTGAAAGGATCATTTCTCTCTCCTTGAGAACAAAACCTCATTCCCTGAAGACTCTCTAACTGCCTGCCCAGGGTAGAAGTGAGCATGCCACTTGGGGCCTCCCAGGACAGACCCCAGGGGACAGGCAGACTCTGTGGGTTCTAGGGTTCTGGGCTGTAGACACACCCAATCCTCAGGAAGGATTCATAGCTTGGGTCTGGCAACCCCTGAGGTCCTCCCTCTAGTACGCAGAGACAGCTCCCTCTGGTGAACTGAGGCTACCACTTGGACCAAATTCCTTCCCACTCTGAGTCCTCCACCTCCATCCACTTAACAAAGATGACGTCTATCCTTATGCAACGTTCCTTACCAGACCCCAGGTTGCTAACAGGTTCTTGGGGGGGGGCGGTCTATTCGTTTTATGGATGTGGGGTAACTTCAATCCTTCAGTCTTGGAGAATGGAAGAGTTGGAAGCAGCACCAACTCAGCCTTTTGAGATGTGGAATCCAGACTCCGGGAAATAAAATCTTTTTATTTATTTATTTTTTTTTTCTTGAGGAAGACAAAAAAAGAAGTAGGTCACTGGGAATCAGGGAAGGCCTGACAGGAAAATTAAAATGACAGAGCAGCTGAATGACAGACCATTGGAGACAGGAACCAAGCTGTGGGGACTTTCTCCCTGGCTCCTGGCTTGCAAGACAGTGCAATGAATGTAGAGAACCAAAGTGAAACCTGGGGACTCCAGCAGGTCCCAGGGAGCAAAGGCGGTGCTTCAGTGGACTGGCACTTGCTGTGATCTTCATGGATGGTGGAGAGCTCTGCTCCTACAGAGTCCTTACACAGGCCCAGTGGGTGAGTGACTCTTGTGCAGGTTCCTGCCATATCCCAGGAGAGAAAGTGGCCTTGGGTGCCATTCCAGGAATGCACTGAGAGTTCAAACCTGGAACTCAGAAGAGTCACAGAACAGCTTGACTTTAGGGTTCCCAGTGTCACCCTCCCACAGTGAGGGGTGGGGAGACAACTAAGGAAAACTGCCTTGGACAGGGAGGGGCTGCAAATAGGCCCCTGAGGCCTTTGAGCTCATCTGGAAAGGGCACAAGGTCTGTCTGCCAGGTGAGGCTGGGCCCAGCCTAAAATTCCTTGGGTTTGAATGTCTGAGCCTTAGATATTGCCCTTCTGCCTGCCTCCAGCACGGATCTGGAGTCTGCCTGCCTTCGTTATCCTGCAGTGCGAACAGGGCAGGCCTTGGCTTTGACACTGCCACAGCCAGCAACAAGCAGAGGGTTCCACCTCTAAGAACACGGGGAAATGTGAGACTCCAAAATTTAGCCTCCCAGAAGGAAAGGATTCATTCAAAATCCCCGAGAATTTTTCCCTTCTGTCTCCTTTCCCTTAATCCTTCCTTTTTACCTCTTTTATCATCTTTCTTTTTCCTTCTAAGTTTTCCCTGTGTTCTTTGTTATTTTTATTCTCCATATAATGGCTTTTCACTTCCTTTTTTGCTGTTGACTTCTACTCCTTGGCCCTGTTTATTGCTCCCCTTACCTAAAGCTATGCTCATCCTTCTCATGCATAACAGGATCACATGCTCCACTTTTCTCTCCTCATTCTACATCCTCTGGATTAAGATTTCAAGTTCTTGTTCTGGCATCCTCCCTTTCCCAGTCCCTTATATCTTCAATAGTATAATAATTAAGCTTAACTAATCTCTAGGTCATTAACTCTATAAAATTACACTTCAATTTCTTTTTTATCATTAGAGGTGCTATAGTGGTTGTGTTTAGTACCTATAGGCTGTATGTTTTATATCAGTTTTCTTTATATTTATGCTGTAATTGTGGATTTCTATTACATGGTTAAAGGTGGCACTTAACTGCTTCTTATTTTATGTTAACATCTTATGTGTCTTGGATGACACTACTGTAGCTGATTTGTTTGGCATTGTCAGAATCACATAATCATTGCCTTTGATGGGCTTCCTCTGTGTGCCAATACTCAGACTGCTTTTGTGAAGTTAACAACACTGGGGTTCATTCCCAGAGAATTTAGTGTTGGACCAATAACACTGCATCCTCCCCTTCCAAATTAACGGAGGTGGTCAGATCTTAGGGTGGAGGTAAATGACTTTACTTAACTATGCCCAAGGTGTGTCCCTTAAAATCAGTCTAACTACACAGATCTCTTTACTAGCAACAAAGCCTGTGCACTAGAACCACCACAAGATTAATAACAAAAGAAACAATCAAAGAGCAGTGTAAACATGAGGCCACAAGGCAACAAAATGACCCCCAGACTCCCTCCTCCCCCAAAACCAGTCCAGGGGGTATCAAGAGAGACAATAGCATAAGCCAACACCTGAAAGTCCAAAGGATACCAGAGCAGGTTAGAAAACAAATCAAGGAGATACTGCATGAGAACACAGAGGATGTAACTGAGAAAAAACAAAATGATCCAGGGAATTTCAGAAGTTACTAATAAAAATGTACCTGAGCTAAACAAAAACATCCAAAGCATGAAGGACCAGTTTAATAAAGAAATAGAGTCCATGAAAAGGTCTCACTCATAAACTGGACTAAAGTTTGCATTGGCCATATGGGCAACAGAAGCAATCAATTTGGATGGAGGGTCAGAATTAGAAATGAGGATACTTTTAAAGACCAACTATTCAAAGAAACCTTAAAACCAAAGAGAAAGTTGTGCATGGTGGAGCAGACCTCTAATCCCAGCACTTGGGAGGCTAAGGCAGGAGGATCACTGTGAGTTCCAGGCCAGTTTGAGCTACAAAGTGAGTTCAAGGCCAGCCTAAACTGCATAGTGAGTCCCTGTCTCAAAAGAATAGAAAGATAACAAAACAAAACAAAATAAACAAACATAAGAACATAAAATATTGATGCAACACCTGCTAGGCGATGTAAGGAGGGCTGATCTAACAGTGGTAACTGGAATAATTAAAAATAAAAAAGAACAAAAGGCATAAAAAATCTGTGTACAGAAGTAATAGCAGGAAACTGCCCAAA